TTCCTGAAAATATGAAACCATCATCAACATACAGTGCCACTATGTTAATAAATTATTATTGCTACGTTTTATATATACACATTGTTCAAGTTTAGATTTAGCATAACCAATGTTCCACAAAAGTTGGTCAACCTTTTCATTCCATGCTCGACTAGACTGTTTCAAACCGTTCAAAGCCTTTTTTTAAATTTATTGTGATATACTGTTATTGAAAATGTACCTATTTAATCACCCGGTATATTTATATTATTTATTTCAGTAAGAAATGCCAATGTTTTTTATGTTGCTACCTTTGTTTTTATATTGTATGTTCGCAGTCTATTGGAAACGTTTTGAGGGAATAAAGGACCTTGATATTTTACTTGCAATTGAATAATTTCACCCAGTCATTCCCAATATAACAGAAGTGGCGACGAGGAGTGTTAACACTTCATAAAAAGTGTTAGAACCCAGTGTAATAGTGTTTTTTTTTGGACCAACTGAATAGTTTGGCTCGCGAAAATGCCAGATTCACAAACAAATCGAAATCCATCATATTATGGACAAGTACGGGAATTCAGTGCTCAAGATAGCGACTGGGTAATTTATAAGCGTAGACTTGATAATTATTTCCAAGTAAATGATATTGCTGATGATAAGAAAAAGGCAATATTGTTGAATGCTTTGGATGAAGATGCATACAAGTTGATATATAATTTGTGTCTTCCGAAGTTTCCAGAGGAAAAAAGTTATCAACAACTCACAGAAATGTTTAATCAGTACTTCAAAGTGTCCGAGTCACTGTTTGTGGCCAGATCGAAGTTTTTCGCAGCTTTTAAGAATCAACATGAAAGTGCCAATGAGTGGGCGGCAAGAGTTAGAAATTTAGCGCTCAACTGCAAATTTAAAGAAACAGTAATTGATATGATGTTACGTGATCGATTCATGGTTGAATTTGATAATGATAAAGGGTCAGTTCAATCTAGACTTTTCAGGGAAAAGTCAACTTCCAAGTTTGCAGATGTTTTAAAAACTGCATTGGCGGAAATGGCGTCGAAGGATAATTATGTCAGCAGCAGACAACCATTCATCAAATCGGAACCAGGAGTGCATCATGTTTCTTCAAGAAAATATCGGCAGACTCCAGCTTCATCATCGCAAACATCACACAGTTCTAAACCCAAGGAAAAGTGCAAGTGTTGTGGTAGAAATAATCATAATACGCAAAATTGCCGATTGCTTAATAATTCGAGTAATTTGTGAAAGTGCAAAGGGCATATGAGTCCTATGTGTCCAAAGAAGAAAGAAAATGCAAGAGGAACATCTACTCCAAGATCCATTCAAAATTTCATTGAATGCGAAAATTTGTTTTCGATAACAAATAAAAAGGTTGTAGACAATCCATATATTGTACATGTTTTAATTGATAGTAAAAGTTACTCATTTCAACTTGATACAGGTGCAAGCATATCGGCTATATCTGATAGTTTTTGGAAAGAGAATTTCTCGAATTATGAACTGTCTCCTCCAGATAGATAAATGTTTATACAGGTGAAAAAATGTTCGCTTTGGGTATGTGTAGAGTAACTGTTAGCTATAATGATGTTCAAAATATTTTGAATATTTTTGTTATTAAAAATGGTGGACCTCCTATTCTCGGTAGAGATTTTATGTCTCTGTATAAACTTGGTATAAATCAGATTAATTTTTCGACAGAATCGCTGGATATAATTATGAAAAATGAGTGGCCAAAGTACGCGAAAAAAAAAATGTTAAATTCAAACAATTTTATACAATTCGAAATGAGTTGACAATTGAAATTGAAGTTTTGCTCCCATCACTTTTGATTTCGAAAACCCATTTACACGCGACCACTGCACTATTTTCCAGTAGATCAACAAGCTCCCAAGTATCATTGTCATTGAAAGACTAGATTTCTTAAATCATAGCCTCCTTCCATGCATGGTTGTCTGGACTTGAGGGAGTTACGGCAACTGTTTTGGGTAGATTGCTTTCAGATGCTGCTGTTCCACCCACGTCGACTGCACCATTGAAGTACATCACGTAATCATGATAGATTTTTTCTTCGGTTCTCGTTGTAACCTCCTCGTAACGCCTGGACAGTTTGAGTAATTGCCCGACATATCAGGAATACAATCACTGTCCGAGTCATTTGACATATCAGTATACCAGGAATCATCAAAGCCGGCATTAACTTGTTCAGCTTCTTCCCCCACTGCAACGGAATCCCCTTTCGGTTCTTGGTTTGCCTGACAAATGGTCTCGTCTACGAATATTTCCATAGTTTGCTTTTCCATAATAGTCACATCTCGGTTTATGATGACTTTCTTCGTCACTGGATGGAAACATATATATCCTTTAGTGGTTTCATTGTATTCTACATACATATGCTTCACTGATTTCTGATCAGTGAAGCGAAACAGAAGCTAAATGCAAATGTATCAGGAGTTGTATCAATTTGTGGGCCCAGTGAAAGGGAATAAGGAATAAAGATGGAACCCTAGTTTCATTTCAAATACAAAAAATGAATATATATAAGACCTCCACATTTTAAAATGGAGGATTATAGAATGGTTAAGAAGTTAATAATGATAATAATAATAATTTTTTATTATTTTCTTGTTAAAAAGTACATTGTTATACGTACAGTGACAAGGAAAACGTCTGAGGGTAGGACACGTCTGAGGGTAGGACACGTTACAGAGTATAATGTTTGTAGTAATCAATAATCTAAAAATATGATACATATAGGTATATACATATAATTATTTGTTTGGCTTAGATTATGTAAAAAAAATAACTATANTATCAATCTTTCAATATTCACTATTTAGAATTACTGACTGCATTCAATGGGTTGAAATCCCTTGCAAAGGAATAGAAACAATGTAAAATTTTGCTTCGAATGTTTAACACCACGGCTATTGCATATATTAAGACTTCGTTAGTCCTTAGCTCGCACAAGTTTCGACTTTTGAGAGTTGTCGTTCGTAGGTGTGCGACAGCTGGTTGATGGAAAAACATGTTTTTTTTTTAGTATGATTGCAAATGTTTTGAATGAAACTGTGAGAGATAAAGCTGAAGGTATTTTGATAGCACCATTATAGGAAGCCCAACCATGGTATCCTTTATTAGTAAAACTGTTGAAAAGCAAACCTTCAATTTGAAATGAATTGATTAACAAAAAATTCTAAATCAATATTGAAAATAAATGGTGACATACAAAGAAATCAGATTGTCAATGTGTTGAACCTACTCTTTTCAATGGTGGCCTTAATAGGAAAAATAACAAAAAAAATAACAAAATACAGGGTCTTACTCTAGGGTTTGATGTACTAAATCTTATCTCATTTGGAGAAATGTGTGTATGTGGAATAAACTTACTGACGTTTTTCCAAATGAATTTAATTTACAGCTTTGGTTTAGAACTAGATTGGGCAGATGATCTATGAGAAACATAGAGAGTAGTGGGAAAATATACCCCGAAAAACACACGGGAAAACTGTTCAAGAAGAAAACTGAAGAACTGCTTCAACAAAGCAGGGATCGGCTCAGAATGATTACAAATTATTGTCCATTGAGATGGCACCTGAACAAAATGGGGCTGATACCTTGGCTGCAGGCAATGCAATTAAGGGGCAGAGACGGCTCATCATATTTTATGTGAATATGAGGCACTAGATCACAGAAGGCAAACAGTTTATGAACAACCTAAATTATGTCCAGAAGAATATGACAAACATCCAACTAAAGATCTGTACAAACTAGAACAAGAAACTAGATTGTTGCAATGGGTGTAATTGAAATGATGGGGAAAACACAATAAGTCAATGAGCTGAAGTGTTTTCAGACAACTTGGAAGAAATGAACAATTCACACGGGTCCCAAGTAGTAAAAAAAAACAACTATTTGCTCTTGATATTTCCGCCTTCTAGAGGATCTAATTCTCTAATCCTTTTGGGATTGGGACTGTATAAGGCAGTTCGTAGTTGACAGTTGGAGGCATTAAGTTGGAGGTAATTTCCAGAATGCTGTGACTTTCAGTATAAACCAGTAGTCTACTACGCTCCACACAAGACTGTTTTGTGCAATTCGCACTATAAACAATTTTAAATGATGTCCACCTAACCTCTCTCCAGAAAGGTGTGGAGAGGAAGTAGGTCTAGATGGATTTGATGTAAAGCTTTTCAGGCAATTGGTAGCTCCGTATGTGATCATTTGTCTGATAATCATCACATATATCCAGTGTATTTGACCCAAGCCCCAAGATTTTACACAAATCCTGAACTCATAAAAGCATTCATTATGCTTTCTTTGTAAATGGTGACTGTAGGTATACGGTTGTGTCTATCTAATTCTAATACAGGTCTGATGATAAGTGTTAAAGTTAACAGCTGACGAATTTTTAAATAAAGAAATATAAATAATGTTAATGTCAGGCAGAAAGAAGGAGGCAATTTGAATTAAATGTAAAAAAGAATTTCGACTAATAGTTATTACAAACCGATCATGAAATTTGCAAGAACATGCAGCNGAAAATTGTCTTAGGTTAATTTGTGTTCTGTCATATTTTGATAGTTAAGAAGAAGCAGAAAATTTTGTTTTTGAGTGCTATGGCAACAAGTTGTAGAAGAATGAAGTTCAGAATGTATGACAGTAAGAAAAGAGTTTGATTGCTTACTTTTATTTTTTCGATTCGTTCTTCAATAAAACTAATCACATTTGAAGTTGTGTCTATCTTAAAAATAAAAAACCGAACATACCAATATGTCATGAGTCGGTCTCAAAATCTCAAAAATTGCCAGCAGCATATAAAAGTAGGTACATGTTTTATCGTATATTTTATTGGTGACAAATGTGTAATCTTTTGTTGGCCCAAGTCTATACACATTAATGATTGTTAAGTTTGTGATGAAAATAATATCGATCTATGTTTTTATGGAGTCGTGATAAAATGACGCAGTTCTCAGCAATGAAATGGAGTCAACCTTAATACTTACAAAATATACATAATTACTCCCATAGACCATATATCACAGCTTTTGTCATACTTTTCAGGACCCAAGACTTCAGGAGCTAAAAATAAATCCTATTAGGTTTAACAGTAAACATTATGAAACTTCATGCATACCAACATAATACGGGGTATAACAAGGGGTCTGGAGTGTATCTTTTACTAATGTTTCTTTGGCAAATCCAAAATCGGTTAATTTAAGTACACCGAAGGGACCTGGTTTAGAATAAAGAAGGTTTTCTGGTTTCAAATCCCTGTGGGCAATATCGTTACTGTGAAGATATTTGACAGCAATACAAATCTCATGCATCACTTGGGCAGCCTCTAAAAAATAAACACAGAAAAGACTAATAAGTAATGGAGAGTGAATTGAGTAAGTCATATTTATATAACATTTTTAGTACATGAAACAAAGGAAAGACTTGAACAAAAACATTTTGTAGTCTTGAACAGTTTGACCTGGTGTTTTTCCAAGTGATATCATCAAAAAAACTATCCAAATGCTGATGAATCATGTTTACAGACCTTTCACCAAAGCCTGTGCTTTGCAAATTTTTACTGTACATAGTTGATGATGGTGTCGGGGATGGAATAAAGAGGGATTTGTTCATTACTTTGTGATAACTTGCAAGCTTCAGATACAGATTGTATTAAATTATGTTTCATTATATTCAATTATTTATATGTGATATCAGGCTATATATATATATATATATATCTTCAATTGTGACTCCGGCCATGAAAGCCATATCTTCAGGGTGTACTTCACTATTACGT